AATGAACAGTGTCATGCCATATTTATATATCGTCCCCAACCAAAGGGGGCTATTTTTTAGCCCCTCAATAATGTATTATTTTAAAATTGTTCTTTAATTTTATTAGTTAATTAAATTAAACTACCATATATTAAAATAAGATTTCTGGACATATATTGAGTGTCGCTTGTTACTAAATGAATAAGCCTCCAGATTTTTTATCTTTATATAATCTTAATAATTTTTCGGATATGATTTCGAGTGATACGTGTTGCTAAAGTGAGTAACTCTACATATTTCTTATCTTTATGTAATCTTAATAATTTTTCAAATAGGATTTTCGAGTGTCATGTTATAACCGATTCCTACTTTTCTATGTGAAATATTCCATTCATTGTGAAACCCTATATGTAAGTATTATTATTTAACTCATTGTATAACGTTTTAATGCTAAAAGGCAAGGTTCTAAAAGACGCTAGGCATTAGTCGGGCGGTGGTCTGGGGCCTAGCGCTTAGGCGGGGTCTAAGCAGGTGCCTAGGCAGACTTAATTAAATCTATTATATTTCGTGTAAATAAGTATATGTTTATACTTAAAATATATATGATTTCATCATAAACTATAAAATAGAATGACATATCTATTATGAGCTTTTGGAATATAATGAAAATGTGGGAATATAATGTGTGTTCATTTAAGTATTCAACAAGTCTCTTATAATTCATTGTAAAAATAAAATGCAAAATGAAAGTTATCTATTTTCTGTCTAAGTGAGTTGCAACCTAGGTGGGTCTGGGCGGGCTAGGCGGTTTAGACGGGCGCCTCAGTAGGTCTAAGCGTTATTTCTTAATTTTCAAACGCCTAGGCATTAATCGGGACAGTGGCTAGCCAACTAGCGCCTAGGCGGCGCTAGATGGGGATTTTTAGAACAATGCTAAAAAGTAATAATTGGTGTGTTGCTCAAAGTGAATAACTCAATAAACAATTATATATGTCTTTAATAATATTCTAGTTGGATACCTACCTTTGGAATTTTATGAGGGAGGAGTAAGAATAATATTTATATTATAAAATATGAGAAAAAAAAAGGGAGAAAAGGAAAGATGAGGAGGCTTCTGGAAGGCATGAAAGGGAATGGGGGAAACATGCCAGTGCCAAGAAGTGAAAAAAAAAAAAAAGGGGTATTTGCAGCTTTGGGCAATTGGGTATTTGCGGATGTGGTGAGTTTAGTTGATTTATGGTAAACAAATTGTGGTTGCACGCCAGTTAGTGAATCTCTTAGTTTGTACTCTATGCCCTCTAATTTTTTTTTTTTTAAATTTCGTCTATAAAAAATAAAGTCCTAAAAAAATTAATAAATTCCAAAACTGACGTCAGGATGACATCATGTTACTATTGGAGAACATTTGGACTTTCCTTTCCGGGCTGGCTGGCTGGCTATCTTTGGCCGGCTGGCTATCTTTGGCCAGCCCGCTAGCCATTTGGCTAGTTTATGGCCTAGTGGATCCCAAATCTCTTTTGCCCAGCCCTTCATTGGAGATAGCTTTTGTGTCAAAAATAAGCTATGTTTCGACCTATAACCCTTTGGTCAGCCCGGTTGGAGATGACCTTAGCCTTATTATGGGAGTCACCTCCTGTTGCAATGATTAATTCAAGGGAGACTTTGGATGCGGTCCCTAGTTACGAATATTTTTTAACTGAAACCTTGTTGGTTTTTAATTTTTTATTGAGATCCCTGACATTAATGTGATAATTTATTTCTATGTACGTTACTATATTTTTTTAATTAAAAATTAGAAATTTTAGTTGTTTATATAAATGAGATTTTAAATAAAAAAAACCATAATTTGTGGGATTAAAAATATTAAAATATAAATATACTATTGTGTGTGTGTGTGTGTGTGTGTGTGTACATGGGTACATTCATCAAAATTAACCAAAAACAATTATTGTATCAAAACATGGGTACATTCTTCAAAATCACAAAAAAAAAAAAAAAGATATTAGGCTTAACAACAGTAGTAAATTTCTTCGATTAAACTTGACATGGATACATTTTAAAATCAAAGAAAAAAGAAAGTACCCATATAAGTTTAAAAATGGATTAGAAAAAATTTGAATAGATTTTATATATAAAAAAAAGGGGTACATTTTCCATATAACAAATTAGTATATTTAAGAATGAATACATTTTAAGATTAAAACTTTTTACATGAATGGGTACATATAATTAGCATGGGTACATTTAGGCAAATAAAAAGTAAAATATATATATATATATATATATATATATATATATATATATATATATGGGTACAAATACAAATAAAGTTTAAAAAATATGGGCAAAAAAAGAAATTAATATGGGTACAAATTAAAATTGAAAAGAAAATAGGTACAAGTTAAAAAAGAATTACAAATTAAAAATGGGTACAAACTAAAAGTAAAAATATATGATAAAAAATTTAGTGATAAATATAAATATACTAATTGTAACATTTTTAACATTAAATGAATATATTTAGAAATAAAAAATATTTTATTATTGAAATAATTAATGATGTTATTAATACCCAAGGACCTTGATCAAAAATTGAAAAGGAATAGGATTTTAATCAATGGAGTAGCAAAATGAAGGATGAGAACCTAATTTTTCCTTAATTCAAACTCAACGACTAGATTTAAAAATATCTAAAGATTGTTTAATTAAATTAACCAATAAATTTAAGGGAGTTTTAACAAAACACTCCCGGTATTGTTCACTTTTAATGAAAAACCACATTCTTACCTTTAACTGACACTATTCATTATAAATTTAAAGCTAATGAATTAGTTAGCCATTTCTGTTGAAGATAGTATATGAGTATGCCCTAATATTGCTCATTTAAAATAATTTTTTACAAGGCTATAATTTTGGAGGGGCTACATTTAGTCATTTCAGTTGGAAATGACCTTAGGCTATCTCCAAGCAAGAGCATTTGGTTAGTAATAGCCTCAAAATTAAATAAAATAGGCACTTGTGATGGTCATAATCACTATTTCAAATAATGAAAGAAAAACGTTAGCTACCTTCTCCTCTTACTTTTCCCGATTTGCCTTTTCAACTCATTAAATGACACATGGACTCTACTAACACTTAAAACTAAGTTTTTAATGCCTTAAAGAGATCATTATTATCATTCCATCAATACCCCTAATAAAAACATTTTTTTTAAAAACAAACGATATAATCTACATTAGGGGTGGTGAAGTGGATTAAGCTTCACAATGAATTAGCAATAATATAGTTCAAATACGTCTTTGGTGAAAATCAAATATAATACTTTTCATTTACTATTGAAGAAGAATACAACTAAACCGTACAACTAAATAACTAATAAAATCACTTTTTACCCTCCCTCTTCCCAATCCGGACCATCTCATTCTTCTTTCTCTTTCAGCTGAAATCTTTCGATATCCTTCTCCATGGTCTTCTCATGCTGCCCCAATAATATACCCTATTAGCTGGAAATTTGGTCCATTGGGTTTAGCTGATGGTTTAGCCACTCATGCAATGGCCAACGCCAAGTTCCTCTGCTCTCTTCTTTAGACGAAACATTGAAAAAAAATTAAAATTAAAATTTGACTCCATTAAAGCTAATTACTTTTTTTTTAATTTAGCTTATTTACCCGTATATCGATGTGGGCTTCTTTTTTTTTTTTTTTTTTTTTTTTTTCAAATGTTCAATAATTCACATATGTTCTTGTCTTTTGTTCTTGGTAAGTCATTGAATCCAAGTGAAAACATATACAACTACATAACCAATTTTGGTTGGTTTTTTCTTTTATAATACAATTCATTTTGGGTTTTATTTTTTTAACAAACGATATTATCCACCCGAACAGAGTGTGGTGTGTTTAGCCTTATAATTGGCTAGCAATAATGTGATTCAAATTCGCCTTTGTCGAGAATCGACCCTAAGACTTCTCACTTATAAATGAAGAAGAATATCATTAGATCATAGTACTAAATGATCATTTTGGGGTTTTAGAAAAGAAAAAAAAAGAATGTATTTTTTCGGTTTAGAAACAGAATTATGGGCTGAATTTGGTAGGAGAGAGAAGTTAGCATTTCAAAAACAAGGGTAATATCGGAAAAAGAATAATGAGTTTCGTAAGGCATTAAGAACTTAGTTTTAAGTGCTAGTGGAGTTCATGTGGTTTGATGTGTGGAAAAGGTAAATTGGAGATGCTGGGGGGGGGGGAAGAATGATGATAGCTGTCATTCCTCAATTTGGAAAATAGCAATGCTTATTGATAAAGAGAAGTGATTTTCATACACATTTTTAAGTGATTTTCACACATATCTTTTAACTTTTCACTCACCTTTTTTTTTAGGGAAGTTTAACGAAAAGCACCTGGTACTGTTCACTTTAACGAAAAACCACATTTTTACACTAAAAAGTCAATCCTGGTACTATTCACTTTACCCTTTATTTTGTCCTTATCATTAAAACTCAAAGTTTTCAAGTCCTTTTCATTAGTTTTCTTTTTTTTTTAACCATTAGACCGAATAAATCAAACAAAATCAACAGTCATGATTAAACAGGAATGTAAGAAGCTAGGAATGGTGAATGTTTATCATTTCCCTCAATAAACTGATCATTTGAGAATCCTTGATAATTAATTCTTTTATAAAATCCATGATAGAAGTCTCACGTGCTCCATTAAAATCTATGTAGAATTCAATCAAATCCACTCGGATTATATAGAAGTCAAGTAAACTCCCTAAAAAATATATTCACTGATTAATTTTATACACCCCTCTAAGATTTAAAAAAAAAAAAATTTCCACTTAGTATCAGAGAATCCAAAGGTTTATTATGAAAGATCTGAAAATTTAGATAGTGAATGCATATAATTAAACAATGATGGTGCGGCCAATAATTAATTAAGCAGCTGCTTCAATCAATGTTCTCCAATTTACCACGAGCAACTAACCATTGGACCTGCAATAGCGATGTAAGAATAAATGCTTATTGATGAACATATGATTTTGTCCACTCTACTATAAATGAATGCTTACGTCACAAGCTAACAGAATATCAAAATCTACAATTTTGTTTTGATACAAACCATATCGCCGCCCGGGGGGGGGGGGGTGAGGGATTCAAACATAGAACCTTAGATGCAAGAATAAACGCTTTGAAACGCTCGGGCAACAAGTCGTTATGAAAATTTTGCAAATTACAAACCTAAGAAGCAACAGCCTACAATGGAAATGCCAGTTCACACAATTGACCTAGACAGCAAACTTCTAAGCAAAGTAAAATATGCATCACTCTCTAAAGAAACAGTTTGATTCCCCAATATGTCACGAAAAAACCGCCTTATCTCCAACTGCTTTTGGGAAATAGCATTTGGCCTCCTGCAGCTGCAAAATGCAAAAGCTGTATATATGATACAAACCGAAATTCTACAATAATCTTGTGTATAGGATGCACCCGAGCGTACTGGAAAATCCTGGTACGAACTTGCACTCATAACGCACAAACAAAATCACCACTTGTCTCTATATCATCTATGTCAGCATCGTCTAACTCATCAAGATCCATGCTCCCAAGTAAACGTCCGCCATATTTGGCGCCGTTCGCAGCAGCTTTTCTACCTTCTTGAATTATTGCCAATATTTCTTCATTGCTTTGGGATGATGATTCATAATTTTGGTCATTGTTTGGGAGGCCATTTTCCTCCATGAATTCTACTGGGATGTTTTTTAGAAACCATGGATGCTGCTTTATTTCAGGGATGGTTATTCTCTGCATTAAATTCAACGATTGACAATCAACCACGTGTGTGTCTCGACGATTGTTATCAGAGAATCACAATGAAGGGTATAAAGTATAAGGACTCAAAAAGTGATAAAGGGTTATCTATCTTTCTAGGAATGATTGTGAGCCGTCTACTCACATCAACGATTGGCAATTAAACATGTGCACAACGATGGCTGTTCTCGGTGAATCAAAACAAAAGAGTATTAAAGTATAAACAATCAAAAGAGTTACAGTAGGTTTTCTGTCTTTCTAGGCGGGGTTGTCGTACATCCACGACTGACAATTAACGAAATACATACCGTTGATTGTGAGTGCACGGAATAATACCTTTTCAGGGTTAGCAGTGAAGATTCGGGAAAGGAGATGTCTGCATTCCATGGAAACACGTACATAGCCCGGAATTGAATAGTGGACACTAAGAATCCTCTGCAACAAGCCAGTGTCAAATTAAAATCGTTAGGTGACAACATCGAAAGGCATAGGCAATAGGCAAAACAAAAACAGTACAAGTAGCACAAGGATATACGTATACCTGAAGTGTTTTTCTGAAATTTCTTGGATCTTCTGGATCTTCAAAGGGATAAGCACCAACAAGCATGACATATAAGGTAACCCCACAGGACCAAACATCCGCAATCTGAGATTCTCGAAGGATAATGAGTGAGAAAACACGGATGTTAGTTATGTGACCAAATTGTTGGTCTAAAATGACAAGGACAAGACCAAAAACCGAACATGAACACCGGTCTCAGAAAATCTTACCTTCCCATCATACTCTTTTCTTGACAGGACTTCCGGTGCAATGTATGCCGGTGTTCCAACAGTTGATTTCGGTTGGGAATGCAACACAGATGACTATAAGATAGAAGGAAAGTAATTACTAAATTGAATTGAAATTCACTGTACGATTTGCACAATCAATTAACTAGTTAATTGCCTTGGAATAACCAAAATCGCAAATTTTGAGACGCGGCGCCGAGCTTCCATCCAGAAGAGTGTTCTCCAATTTAAGATCTCTGTGGCAAATTTGCTGCAGTAAGAAAAAAAAAAAAAAAAAATATATATATATATATATATATATATATATATGTATATATAGTATCATTAGGTCAAGAATTAAAATGTTTACAACGAACAAATCATATCATGATTTCGATGGGTTGAGGATTTTACCATTGAATGACAATAACTGACTCCTGATATCAGCTGCTGAAAAAAATATCTTGCCTGCAGAATGCAGAAACCCATGTCAAGAATCGGGAAACCGAACCAAAGAAAAAGGAAAATTCAAAACAACTACTAAGATTCTTAATCATTTGCGGCTGAAGGAAGAAAAAAAAAAAAAAAAGAGAAAAGAAAAGAAGTCATGTATTAATTTGTTCTAAATTTTACCTCGTCCTCGCTGAATCGACCAGCATTGCATATTTTTTCAAAAAGTTCTCCCCCAGCAGCATATTCCATCACAATTGCTAAATCGTTTGGTGTTAACAGCACCTACGTAAATTAACACACACAATAGAATTAAAAGATATTGACGAATAAAACAAGTATGAATATTTGATTTTAAACCAAGTGGAATTAAAAGTTAACGCCAAAAGGTAGTCTGATTGTTCTCTATCAAAAGTGATCCTTTTTTTTCAAGTTGCACACCCCACTAACGTAACTTGCAATTAACCTTTTTTCTTTTCACTGCAGAGATTAATTCCAAAACCATTTCACAAATAAGAGATTAATATACCTCTTTGAATCTTATTATATTTGGATGCTTCAAGGACCTGTGGTTCATAATCTCCCTCTGTACATGCTCATCAATCTATAAAAACACACAAACCCAGTTGGAAAACAGAGAAAATGAAAGGTGTGGAAATTAAATAATTAATTACCTTCTGGCCTCTCTCAATGAACTTGATAGCAAAGAGCTCGCCACTCCATTTGTCCTTCACCAGCTTTGCAACCCCAAAATTCCCAGACCCAATATCCTTCACTATCTCGTACCTTTCCATTCCTTTCTTCTTCTTCTTCTTCTTCCTCCTCTCTCTCTCTCTCTCTCTCTCTCTCTCCTGCTCCAGTGGACACTGTCTAAATAGTCGTCGTCGAAGAGTTTACAAAAGAGACAATAAGATCCGAAAGTCCACGTGTCAATTACGGAGTAGTCGTTATCTCCAGCAGACATGAGCAAGTTGTAACGGACCATTGCCTATGTATATGTAGGGGTGGAATTTTTTCCCGAAAATCCCGAACCGTCCCGATCCCGTCCCGAAATTAGCCCGAAAAATTCCCGAACCAAATTTCCCGAAACGTTCGGTATCCGAAACCGATCCCGAACCGAAAGTTTCGGTTTGGGAATTGGCCACAGATTTGAAAGCTTTCGGGAATCCCGAACCGAACCGAATATTATATATATATATATTTATTTATTTATTTATTTTTAATTTTTAATTAGCATTTACTTGAACCGTTGGATTTGTTAAAATCAAATCCAACCGTCCATAGTTAGGTCCTTTTTTGTTAGGTTATTTCAGACTCTCTCAGTCGCTCTCGCTCTCTCACCTCCTGGCGCCGCTCGCTCACTCCTTCACAGTCCCCCGCTCCCTCCTCCTCGAATCCACGCCGCTCCTCATCGTCCACCCGCTTCTCTCGGATACGATGAGATCCACGCCGCTCTCATCGTCATCGCTAATCCTCTCGTCGAATCCCCGCCGGTCCATCGTCATCCGTCCAAAAACCGAAAATATGGCAACCGCCCATCTCCATCGTCATCCGATCGTCAAAATCTCAAAGGATGATAAACAGCATCTCAGCGTCGCCTTCGTGTCACTTCTTCTCATCATTCTTCAGTCCCGCTTTTTCAGGTACTCCAGTTCTCACTCATAATCCCTACACTCTCTGTATCCAAACTTTGTACTTTTTCTAATTTTGATATAATCCCTAGTTGTTCAACTTGTGGCTATCTGGGTTTGCTTATTTTTGCTAATTTCCATGTTTTTGTATCTGGGTATTGGTAATTTTCGGTTTGTCGAATCTCGGTTGGTTAAAGTTTGAAACCCTATGTGGGTTTATCTGGAATTTGGATGCACATTTTGAAGCTATTGGGACCGTATTGTTGATTTGGACTTCGATTTTACTGAAGGATTAAGTATATTATTTGTTTTAGATTGGTCGATTGAAATTTGTGATACACGGAGTTTGGCTTTTGGATCTGCAAAAAGGGATTTAGTTTAGCAGTTGAATTGATACACCTCTCACTCAAAACCATTCGGAATCTGGATCAGACAATTTACAGCAGTGGATGAACTGAGATAGGCGTAGTGAGAGTTGACTTGTGCTTTGAGGAAGTGTATATTTACTGAAAGCACTTCTTTAGGGAACTTATTTCTGAGAAGCGGGTAGGATTGCGTTGATTTTCAAGTATCCATATTTATAGGTTCGTGTGGAACCTGTATTGATCTGGAAATGGAGGTTGATTCGCGTCGTAGAAAACTTATTCTGGGAATTTTAGGTGTTCCGCAGTGTATTTATTTGAACTGATATATTGTATTGGTATTGAGCTGTTAAGTTTTAGTATTCATGTAATACGGTATCTATTTTGTTCTTTGAAGGATTATGCATCCTTTTTGGCTTTCTTGTTTAGTACATACTTCATACACATGCTCATAACTTGTTTTTACTCTGTTCTGAATTTATCTCCTCCACGCATCTATTCTCTCATTGCATCTGCATAGGTGGTGACCATTAAGTACCTTTTCGTATCATAATTGAGCACCGTTTTCATCTTAGTTCAAAAGACACTTTGTTCCTCTGGATAGTCTTGATCAGAAGAAGAAAATCAAAATCATTTAAAATCTTTGTTCATTTAATGCCTGTGCTGATGCATTTAGAAGAAAACGGAAAATTATAATTCTCTGTGTTCGCGGGACGGGATCAGGATCAGGATTCTCCTCACAAGGTGAAATGCCACCTCCTCCACCACCTCAAGTTCAACGCCGCCCATCATTACCTCCACGACCACGACCACCTATTTCAAGAGCATCTAATCCAACACAAAGGAGGGTTCAATTATCAACAAGAGGAAGGGGTCCACCACCACCATTAACACCAACGTCAACGGGTCATTCATCAACAAGGGGAAGAGGCCGAAGGGGCTAAAGGAAATGAACTACGTTTATAAACTATGTTTTGGTTGCATGCACTTTCTTGCTTATAAACTATGTTTTGCTTTTGGTTTGTAATTTAATCTAAATTCATTCGGAAGTTTGGTTTGTAAAATTTAACTTATTTCATTTTGGTTGCATGCACTTTTAATTAACTAGTTTGTTAGACAAATTGTGAACTTAAGCTTAACTTGTTAGTTGTTGCTTTCTTGGTATGAAAATTGAAATAGGTGTGGTATTGTGAATCTGTGATATTGTGATGAAATTGAAACAAGTGGGCTGCCTGTGCTTGTGCGGGCTGGCTGGTTGCAATTGCCAATTGTAACCCTTTTTTTTTTTTTTATGAAAAAAGGGTGGGCTTACCCTTTAAATGGTGGGCTTACTCTTTAAAAGCCCAACATTTTGGGCTTCAAATTGTAAAAAGCTTAAAATTGTAAAAAGTTATAAAAGCCCAACATTTTGGGCTTCAAGGCCCAATCCCGAAGTTTCCCGAAATTCCCGAAACACTTTCGGGAATCCCGAATTTCGGGATTCCAATAGTTTTGGTTCGGTTTCGGGATATAAAATCCCATCCCGAAATGTTTTGGTTTGGGAATCGGGTTCGGGGTTTCGGTTCGGGATCCCGACCCGAACCAGCCCTATGTATATGTTGGAATTGGTACTCGCGCTTACAACTCTACGACGTGTCGTGTTGAGAATGTTATTTGGCAGCTGTCGGTGCAAACTTGGCGGGTAAAAGGTTTTGGCTACTCCCAACGGGTGGGAAAGTTCCTGGGGTTTTCGAGGAGAGAGGATAAATTAACAAGAGGGAAGCTTGTGGGACCAAAAGGTGACGTGGAAGGTGGAGTGGGGAAGGACAATTAGACTGATGATAGATTTTTGTAGTATGCTAAAAATATGGTTTGGTACTTAAAAGTATTATAATTTTTGGCATTCTAAAATATCATAATATAATTATTTGAAAATGTTTTGATTTTCAAATTTCTAATCAATTGTGTTATGACATTTAGTCTACTTGATTGTGTTCTCGAAACAATAAAAATTTATTTAAATTGTGGTGTGCAAATTTGATGGGTGGGAGCCGACACCTTATTTTGTGGTGTAGCTTCTAATTCTCTCATCTTTTTTGGAACTTGGATTTTGGGAATGATCGAGTAAGCAATCACATTGGTTGGCATCTTGCATACATCATGCATGATCACCCCCACTCGTTGGTAGACAGAGAGGTGATGCATTGAATTTAATTCTAAGAGTTAGCGTACTTTGAGTTTTTCATTGTCTAGGACTTGAATCAAGGAATTGTGTTTGTCTAGGTTAACTAGGGAGGTGGAACATTGTGTTAAAGAATACATCAGAAACTTGAATATATTACAATCTATAAATGACTAGTTCTATTACTAATAATATCGTGATTTTTGTGATGAAATTCAATATTGTGTAGGTGATTAAGCTGCGACGATTTGGAGGTGGATCACCCCAAAAACTAGCTTAAAGAGTTATTACAAATGATTTGAGTCCTAGAGACTCTCATCATATTATCAAATAATTGAGTTTCAATCCACTCAGGAGAATTCTCAAAATAATGTACCCTAGATCCATATTATAGCTCCAATTGGCAATATCATCTGCCACCATATTCTTCTCCCAATAAACAAGCACTAACTCGCATTCGGCTATGTGTATCATAAGTTGTATGTGTGGAGCCAAAAATAATCAGAAAATTATGGAGGCGACACATGAACTCTTGGGCAAAAATGACAAAATTACCCTCGAGACACACCGGGATTCCCACCCGCATGCAACAGACAATAACAGCTCAATCAGGGAAGAGTCAAAGGTGATCAAAATGGTATTTATTCAAAACCCTCTCATCACTCCTCATCAAATCCTCACTCAAAAGGTAACTCTCAATTTTCCTATTCAATTTAGGATTAATTGACAAATTAATTGCAAGATTATTTCACATAATATCTTGCAATTATACTCATATTCCCACCATGTATGGCCGGACCCCTATTCTCCAAATAGGGCCGGCCACACCCTTATAAATAGTCCAATTTTCTCCACCAAAAAGCTAAGTTCATTCTCTTCCAAAAATTCTCTACAAACTTTCTCTCTAAAATTCTAACTTTGGCATTGGAGACTCTTCGGCCAAAGCCCCTCCCCATTCATCGTGGGCGTGTGAGGGTCTTAGCCTTGATCTTAGGTGTTATTGTTTTGTAGATGCATTTTCATCAAAGAAAAATAAGGAAAAAATTTGCATCCACAAATTGGTGCTTTCATTGAGAGTCTTGATTCACACACTTGAAGAAGACTTTCGCATTCGAAATTTTTCTTTTTCATGTTCATTTGTAGATTTTTCGTACATTCTTATTCTTAGAATTTTTTTTTATAAAGATTCTTTGATAAAACGTAAAAAAAAAGTGCAATGACAAGAAATTTGGAAAGCACGACAAACGGAACTTCCTACGTTCAAGAATTTGGACCACGACGAGTGAAGTGGAACCACCCCTATGGGGTACCACCTTAGCAACCACAACAGGGACCCTCGGTGAGCCCACTGCCCACAGTGAGTAAGCCACCTCGTAGCAGCAGGCCCAAGCATGTGCCACAAGGCAGCGAGCCCAGATTCAAAGGACCCAAGCAGTTGCAGCAATTGGAGTAGCTCGTTCCTCGCAGGCCCAAGGCCAGTGCGAACCCAATGCTCCCTAAGGCCAATCTGTGTCACTCTAGCCCACACGGGCCCAAGCCCAAGGCGAGCCGACACGAGCCAAGCGCGCTCCCAAGCCGAGCCTAGGCCTAGGACCCACATGCACCATATATGGACCAACCCACTCCCATGGCTTTCCAAGCAGCCCAAACTGGTCCAAGACCAATTTAACTATCCTGGCTTCAGATTTCTGGATTGACGATTGAACCGAGGGTATTTTCACCCCATTGCTTCGCAGATTTGACATTTTCCAACTCAAATCTCGTGCCTGGAGTCCATTACATTTCCACTACTCAAGGAGATGCATTA